TTTCCCTCTACAGGCCTGGGTGTGCGAGTCACTGGGACCCGTCACCTGGGCGATGCCATCAGTGTTCAGTGCCCAGGCCACTATGGGAACCGCCATATTTGTGATAGAGTGATAGTTAATTTGCATATTACCTTTTATTAGATAGGGTGAAATGAAGAAGTTACATTTGAAAATCTCTGAACTTAATTCCAACACCCAGTTCTATGCTTTTTTGGATGGTGTTGATTATACAGTGGCCACTTAGCTGTATAAAACAAAGAGGTTAAACATGTTCTAAAATACTGTAGAATCTGAAATTATTTAAATAAAAATGTCTCATATTTCCTTAACAATTTGTCTGAGACAACTCTGAAACAACTGGAATACTGAAAATACGTTATGTTTGGGATACATCAGTACTTTTCCTTAACTTCTTAAATTACTAAATATCTTTGAATATCATTTCACATAAGTTGAAAACCTAGAGGTCCACTAAGTATATAGTTTAATAGGTTCTTGCATAGGTTCATAGAGTTGTTCATTGTAAGAGATTGAATATTGGATTGACAATATAAACAGATCAGAATGGTAACAAATCCACTAATTCAGTAGCTGATAGTGAGTACATCACTTCAACCTCATTTTTCTATTTGGGAAAATGAGGATAAATCTAAGATATTAAAGTTCTCTTATAAATTAGATCATGAGTCTCTATTATAAACAGATTAAGAATATAATGATGGTATCAAAGTAATATAAACTATTTTGCCTGTCAATAAATAGGAAGTAAATTGTCTTCAAACAATAGAATATTGAAAAATAAAAAGAAACAAAAAATACACTTAGTTGAAAACGTCCCAAATTTAAACCAGAGTATTCTGTGCAATAAATGGGGAAAAGTTAATGATCAAGCCTTTTCTAAAATTGATAGAAGGCATATATTCCTTCTCAGCAGAATTAAAGCTACTTATGCCAGCAGTGAAAACAATACTGACTTAAAATACTAAGTCCATTGTCCATAGACTCCATTCTCTGACCTTAAGAAACTTACATGACATCAGATTTCTGTCTCTGAAATATGTTAATTATGATATAACTTCTAGGTCTCTTGTGAGGGTAAATTAGTTAATGTTTCTAAGTCACTTAAAGGATAATGATTGACCAGAGAAAGATCATCATTGTGAAGTCAGTAAAACAAAACAAAACACTAAATGCTAAAGACATTCTTCTAATTAACATAGCTATCTCAATTAGAGCTTTTAAAAAAGAAATAAAGATCTTCATAAACATGTAGATCTAAAATAATAATTGCAAGACAAAGCAAAAATAATTTACATTCTCATTATGGAATTATAAAAATAGGTTAAAAGTGAATAGTCCATATACATATGTTAGTTTTGGGGGAAAGATATAAAACCAAGACATATTGAATCTGGTGTCATAAAACTCATTCTCTTCTCAAATTAAAATATTTATATCAATTAAATGATATCCTTTAATTGTTAAAATGTCAGAAATACAACTCAAATAGATGAATATAAATGTAAAGGTTCCTATAGATAGTATTCTCAGTTAAATTGCTTTGATATTTCATTTTCCAATACTTGAAAAATAAATAAATCTCAAAAACAGATTTAATCTTAAGTAATCAATGGAGTCCTTCATTTAAAAAGTAATGTTACCCCAGTAAATGGAATTTTTAAAATAGTTGCTATAGGAAGATGGAAGAAGTTACTGTTTGGTTTGTTCGTTTGTTTGAATATTGTTTTGGCTTTCCTCAAAGGACTGTTTTTCCCTCTTAGATAATTAGAAGATTCCAATATTCACCGCATGTCATAATTAAACATCTTCTAGGAAGTACACAGTCTGATTAGCACATTAACTCAGGCATAAACCAGCCGTGACCATGTTGCCTCCAGGACAGGGTCATATCAGTCTAGGAAAACAATCATGATAAAACTTCTTCAAAAATATATCAATTCCAATATTATTTTATCCTCCATCATTTAAGATCTTCTTTCCCTGTCAGTTTTGTGTTTTTTTTTAAACTATAATTGGACTGATTTTAGGGAAGAAAGGAGAGAGATAGATAGAAACATCAATGATGAGAGAGAATCATTGATCAGCTGCCTTCTGTTCACCAGGGATTAAGCCTGCAAGCCAGGCATGTGCCCTGATCATGAATTGAACAGTGACCTCTGGGTTCATAGGTAGACAATCAAGCACTGAGCCACACCAGCTCCTTGTCAGTTCTTACTCTTTAATTTTGGTGAGAAAAGTATCTTAGCCTATTAGTAATAAAAATGGATACCTCAGTTCTGAAAATTAAATACCTTTACCATACTTCAAAGGTTCCCATCAACAGATTAGGGAAAAGTCAGAGATGTTTTTATAGTTACACTAGTGGTCTGGTGCATGAAATTCATGCATGGGGTGAGGTGGTTCCCTCAGCCCAGCCTGCACCCTCTATGGTCAGGGACCCCTTGAGGAATTTTTGACCCAGGTTTAGGCCCAATCCCTGTGAGATCGGGCCTAACCCAGCAGTCAGACATCCCTCTCACAATCTGGGACTGCTGGCCCCTAACCACTCACCTGGCCTGCCTGATTGTCCCTATCCTTTATGCCTGCCTGTTTGATTGCCCCTACCTGCCTCTGCCTGCCTGTCTGCCCCTACCTGCCTCTGCCTGCCTGTCTGCCTGCCCGTCTGACTGCCCCTAACTGCCCTCCCCTGCCAACCTGATCTCAGCCACAAATGCCTGTGCCTGCCTGATCACCCTCCTCTGCTGGCCTGATCTCGCATCCAACTACCCTCCCTTGCTGGCCTGGTTGTCCCTAACTGCTCTCCCCTGCCAGCTTGATCGCCCCTAACTGACTCTGCCTGCTTGATCGCCCCTAACTGCCTTCCCCTGCTGGCCTAATCTCACCCCCAACTGTCCTCCCCTGCCAGCCTGATCTCAACCTAATGGCCTCCCCTGCTGGCCTGATCTTGCCTCCAACTGCTCTCCCCTGCCAGCCTGATCACCCCTAACTGCCTTTGCCTGTCTGATTGCCCTTAACTACCCTCCCCTGCTGGCCTCCCAACTGACCCCAACTGCCCTCCCCTGCAGACTTGATCTCACCCTCAACTGCCCTCCCCTACAGGCTTGATCTCACCCTCAACTGCCCTCTCTGCCTCACCCCCCATCATCATGCCTTTTCTGGAAGGAAGTCGGACATCCAGAAGATGACTGATTGCCCCTGTTTTTAGCATATTACCATTTTATTAGTATAGATAGATTATATAGGATAGGATTGATTAAATGGGGGGAGGGCAGTTGAGGATGAGATCAAATCTACAGGGAAGGGCAGTTTCATTTTTAGCAGGAAGAGATGCTCTTGGCAGACAAAAACATATAATCCATATATCTGGACTGATAGCCAGCCATATGCACTATACTGCCAAACGGTCATTAAAAAACTGAACTGCTTTCTTACACCTTACACCAAACAGCTATTGCCCTTAAAACCCCTCCTCAGCCCCCACCTTAGGTTCTTCCTTCCCAGTTCAACATATTAGCTTATGATTGGGCAGTTTCTATGCCAGTCAGCATCAAAAGCTCTGCCTCCTAGGCAACCATTGGCTCCTCACAGTTCACCCAGGTTTGGATCTGACTGATCAGTTTCTATGCCAGTCAGTCTTTGGTCATTTTGGACATTATGGACCTTGGGTTTTTATATATTAGGATACCAATAATTAAAGACCACAGCTACTATTTTGAAGAGGGGGAGCAAGAGGACTACCTATATTCTGATGTCTTTTTATTGAACTGATTGGTGGCTTGGTGAAGAGCCACCAAAGGATTAAATTTTTAATATTATAAACGTTATTAACATAAATTAAAATTTAAAAGCTGATAATCATGTGTGTTATTGGAAAAACTTGTTTTTCCAATAAATATGTTTTGAACAACTTGACTATGGGAATTCACTATATCATCTGTAAAAATTTCTGATTTCTAAACCGCAGTCAAGTATTTCTGATGAAAATTTAGTGACTGAACTGTGATGGGCATATGTGTAAAGCTATATTTCAAAGAACTAACAAACAAAAATAATGTAAAATATCTCATTCATAATTTTTTTTTTCAAATATTGCTCACATGTTGAGTACTTCAATTTATCATACTACTTTGGATATATTATTAGAAATAAAATATATTCTTAAAGTTAACGCCACTGGCTTCTTACTTTTTAAATGTACTACTAAGAAATTTTAAGTTACTTATGACTCATGCTACATTTCTATTGGGCAGCCTAATAAAGAATAATAATACTAACCGGAGGCATAAGTATCTGAGATGGACCAGTGAAGTGGTTTAGAAAATCTGTGTAATGTGAGAAAGAAGCAAAGGCCAGACAGCAGTGCATTCAAATCTGAGGAACTTGAACAAGCCCTTCTGTTTCTTTAGCCTGTATTTCTCCATGTGTAAAATGGGGAGAATAGTTTCCTGGCTTACACTAAATATTTATAAAGTGCCCGGTTTATCATCGGTTTAAATAAACTACTAAGAATTACCCGCTTCTCAATGTCAATGGGTACTGCCTCAGACACATACTTGGTGAGACTTCGAACGGAAACACTACACAAGCCCTCTGCATGAGCTTATGGGCAGGCTGAAGTCTTGATTAGTGAAAAGTAAAAGCCTGTCATCAGTGGGCCCTTCTGGCCAAGCAGATCTTTCAGGGCACTTTGCCGCTAGCTGACAAGCAGAAGCAACTTTTCTTAGATACTCCTAGCCTGTCTGACAGTTTCATCCACTTCCCCCTAGCAGATATTATCTTTGGTACTTGAAAGAGCCAGTCATCTTAATCCAGACAAGTATACATGATAAATCAAGAAAACTTGACCCACTTGAGAGATTAACAAGCATTTCATAGTGAACCACCAATGCTTCTTTAATGAATGGAAGAACTGATCAAGGACTGCAGCAAGGTATGCCTCCACTGAATGCATTGTCCTGGGCCACCCAACTCCCACTTACCCCCAACATCTGGTGGAGGTAGTGGTACTCTGGCCCTTGGTTGTACTGCAGGAAGGTTTTCCAGAAAAGCAGGACGTTCAGGGCCAGCCAGATCAGCTACATCAGACAAAAGGAGAGAGAAAACAAAAAGTTAAACATAAACACAACCTGATGAATGGAAACCTTAAGGACATTCCTTGGACACAATACTTTCAATGGAACCTCAATTAGTAACTGCGGAAAGCAATCTGAAAACCACTCCAAGAAAAACACATCTGACCTCACTCAGTCCCTGCACCTAAGAGGAAGCATTTGGGCTGTCAACAGGTCTCCTGAAGGATCTGCAGATATCCCTTGCAGAACAAAAAAACAAAACAAAACAAAAACCGGGGCTCAGCAATGAGTGATATCACCAGGTCCCCAGCGATGTGTATTGTTAAAATACACCGTCCAGCAGAAGCATTCCGTGCAGGGAGCAGAGGGGGGGTCGCTGTGTAAAGGGTTAACGAAGAGCTGAGTTCATTTAGCGATCCCCTCTCCCTTCCTCCACAGCCGCTCTCCCCTCAGGGTATGGGAAAGGTCCCTGGCTTTGGGAGAAAAGGGTGGCATCTTTAGGATCTCCAGGTAATAACCGCGGCAAGTTTCCTGGGTCGAGACTGTTCGGATTCCAGGCAAAACTTCCACTTCCAGCCTCCCACCCGCGCACGCTCCAAGAATGAATCAAAAAAAAAAAAAACCTCTCCAGGAGAGACCAAACGCGGGGACAGCCTGCCCGCCATCCTACCAGGCAGAGGTGTTTAACCCCTTCGTTGTCCAGCCAGCTCCTCCAGGACACAGCCATGCCGCCCGCTGCGCCGCCCGCCGAGCTCGCCGCCCGCCGGCCCGGGAAGGAGCGGCGCGCCGGGGCCGCGGGGACAGGAGCGCGGGCGGGGCGGGCCGGGCCGCGGGCGGGCGGGCGGGCGGAGGGCGGTGGTCAAAGACCGAGTGGAAGCGCGAGGCCGGCGCCCGGCCAGCCCGGGCGGGGTCTGCGCCCCGAGCCGGGTCTTCCGGGCGCCTGGGCTCCGGCTCCGGCTCCGGACGCAGCGGGTCTGCACGGGCCACTCGGCGGCCCCGGCCCGGCCCCGCTCCGAGCGCGCGCTCCCCGGCCCCGGCCCCTTTGTCTGCAGCGGCGGCTGCTGGGGTGTCCCGGCTGGGAGCTGGGAGCTGGGAGCTGGGAGCTGGGAGCTGGGAGCTGGGAGCTGGGAGCTGGGAGCTGGGAGCTGGGAGCTGGGAGCTGGGAGCTGGGAGCTGGGAGCTGGGAGCTGGGAGCTGGGAGCTGGGAGCTGGGAGCTGGGAGCTGGGAGCTGGGAGCTGGGAGCTGGGAGCTGGGAGCTGGGAGGCGGCCCGCAGCCCAGCCTGCCCAGTTCTGAAAGACCAGATGCGGAGGAAGATACTCCTACTTCACGTGGGGACCTGGCCTCTGGCCTGCCTGCCTTCTCCCCCCCCCCCCCCCCCCCCCCCCATACACCTACTTCTGACAGGTCGTTTTCCAAAAGAAGTTCAACTCAAAGAGCCTTGGTGACGACATGAAGGAAGGAAAGTCTTTTGTGCACTAGAGTCCCCCTTCTCCCGCCCATGCTCAGCAACTCATACCTAAAGCCTCTCTGCACCTTCTGTTCTCTGTGCCCCATCCCTACTCCAACCCACGCCGATAAAGCTTTTAAGAAAATTCTAAGTAACAGAAAGATCAGATGGATGGATGGTTAAAGCGGATGTGATTCTCAGGGGCTTCGGGAAGCTCAGATTTACTCTACTTAGGAATTTACATTTTACTACCTACTATCAGAGTTACTTCAGGAACAGGAATCCTCTCAGGCTTGTATCAGACAACAGCTAGGAGAGGGGTGAGAAGCCTGTGGATTGACACAGGGTATCGGTCTTACACTGCATATCAATGTTAGGGAATGTCAGTGTGACGGAAGAGAAAGAAAAGCATCCATATAGAAGAATACCTGGTGAAAAATAAGTGTTCAATAAATGTTTGTTACATCGGGAACTTTCCAACATGGTCAAAGTAACAAGTGGTGGAATGAGTTAACTATTCATAGCCTAATCCCATGGCTTTCAAGTTTTGTTTTTTTTCTTTTTTATAAACAAAATACATTTTATAACACATGCATAATGTAAAATTGAAACTAAATTTTCACAAAATCCGACTTCCTTGCCAAATGCAATGTGCTTATCTCATTTAATTCCATGAACTGATTAATGACTGATTTAATTCAAAACTTGAATGATCCATATCAAATCCTAGTTACAGTTTACCAAGTTCTCTTTCTAATAGTGTGTCCTCTCTTTTTGATATATGGATTTCTTGTATCATACATGATTAAATCCTGAAAACTGCCTCAAATCTTCCTGGAGTAAGAGCATATATTATTTGTAAACTAGAGGCCCAATGCACACAATTCCTGCACAGGGGGTGGGGGGGAGTCTTCAACCCAGGCTGCACCCTCTCCAATCTGGGAGGGTCCTCTCAAGGGATGCCCAACTGCTCGTTCAGGCCCTCTCACAATCCAGGATTGCTGACTCCCAAGTGCTCACCTGCCTGCCTTTCTAATTGCCCCTAACTGCTTCTGCCTGCCAACCTAATCACCCCCTAACCACTCCCATGCCAGCCTGATTGATCTCTAACTGCTCCCCTGCCAGCCTGTTTGCCCCAACTTCCCTCCTCTGCCGGCCTGACCACCCCTAACTGCCCTCCTCTGCAGGGTTGATCACCTCCAATTGCCCTTCCTTGCAGGCCTGGTCCCTCTCAACTGCCCTCCCTTGCAGGCCTGGTGCCTCCCAACTACCTCCCCTGCTGGCCATCCTGTGGTGGCCATTTTGAGTTCACATGGGAGCAGGATCTTTGACCACATGGGGGCAGCCATCTTGTGTGTTGGAGTGATGGTCAGTCTGCATATTACTCTTTTATTAGATTATTAGATAGGATAGAGGTCCGGTGCATGGGTGGAGGCCAGCTGGTTTGCTCTAAAGGGTTTCCCGAATCAGGTTGGGGGTTCCCTTGGAGCCTAGGCAAGGGGCCTGTAGTGGTTTGTAGGCCAGCCACACCCCCTGGCGACCCAAGCAAAGGACCTAGTATCTGGAATTTACCTTCTACAATTGAAACTTTGTAGCTTAGAGTGGAGTCAAGCCTCCTGCTCACTCCATGGCTGCCGCCATTTCTGTTTGGATTTGTTTACCTTCTTATAATTGAAACTTTATAGCCTTGAGTGGAGGCTTAGGCTGGCTAGGGGAGGCGGAAAGTTTGGCTTCTTCCATTGCCTGGGAAATCCAAGACTCCCTCCTGCTCTTTGTGGCCATAGCCATCTTGATTGGATTTATTTGCATACCTGCTCTGATTGGCTGGTGGAGTGTGGCTGGTAGGCATGGCTGGTGGGTGTAGCAGAGTGATGGTTAATTTGCATATTACTCTTTTATTAGGTAGGATAGCATTCTGCTCTTATTAAGCATATGACACCTCAAGGGACAGAAAAACAGCACACAGAGAACCCAAGGAGTATCACTACTGGAAGAAATTCTTAGACACACTGGTGATCCTCAAATTATACCCTTGAGTAACCATTCAGGGCCATAATTTCAATAGATAGGTGGGAGGATCTACAAAATGGGTTGGTTCTTGTCATGAGGTGAGAGGAGTGAAGCAATTGAAGAATAGGATAAAAGACAATTTTAAAATGTCACCTACTTCCAGAATAAAGGAAATAAAAATAATCTAGTTCTTACTGTATACAAAGTGTCAGGCCCTTTCCTTGTTACTTCATATACAAAATCTCACTTAATTCTCACAATAGCCATGTGGATGTCAGTGGTACAGTTTTAAAGATAAGGAAACTGAAGCTAAAAGATGAAGGAACTGTCTTGAGGAGGAAGGGGGAAGGGGGAGATGTTGTCAAAGGGTACAAACTTCCAGTTATAAAATGAAGAACTTCAGGATGTCTGATGCACAGCAGCATGGTGATTATAGTTAACTATTAATTATGTACTTGAAAATTGTGAAGAGAGTACAGTAGATCTCGCATGTTCTCATCACAAAAGAGCAATGGTGACAATATGAGATGATGGAAGTGTTAACTAAAGCTAGGATGGTATTTATTTCACAAAATATGTGTATTGAGTATCGAGTCAGCACAATGTTCTATGTCAATACTCTCAATAAAGCTGGAAAAAAAACATGTTCACGAGAATAATATTGCAATAAAAGATGAAAAAATAGAGAAAGACACTTGCCTGAAATGATAAAACTGTATTTGCTTACATCTCAAACAACCCCAAAAAGATACTTTTGTGAAACCCTTTTGTCAAATGACAGAATGCTAAACAAATGCTGATTTGTTATAAGTATCACTATTATTTTATAGGAGATCTGTAAGAGGGGGTACAGGATCCGACTGTTTCTGTTGCCTTACAAGGAAACAATACTGGAAGGTAGGTATCCCCCAAAGACAGAGCTATTGCCTTGTTATATAGGCACTCTCATTACTGATTTCTTTTCAATATAATGTTCTTTGGCCAGATGGTATAGTGCAAGTAGTTAATGCTGGCTTTCCCACAATGGGAAGGCCTGTCCCTGAACGCAATGAGGAGATAGCTCTGCAGCTATACCAGTATTCCTAATGCATAATAAAAAATATCACACTTTTGTCTGAAAAAGACTTTGAGGGAAAAATAATCAAATGACAAATACCTTTCTCTTGGTTGAAATAATGGTAAGAGAAATAATGGAAGAGAATGGTAATCATCCTATGCTGCTGATCAACTCTGCTTGAGAGATATCCTTAATCTTATGCCTTATGCTTATGGATTAATAAACACAGAAGCTTTCTGTTTTTGGTAGACAGTGTCCTTCAACGCATGAAATCCATGAAGAAAAAAATGATAAATGTTTGTCAGCTTTTATTACTCTGCTTCTTTATTTGTCAGTTCAGAAACATCTCTTTCTCATGAAGCTTTTTCTAACCCACCTCTCCTCCATCTCACACAGAACCTTCCTATCATCTCTGCATTCTTTAGTGTGTCCAAAAGACACTACAACGTATGATTACTACAGACAGGAGTTCCTCTGCCTGGAGCCAGCAGTGCCACACACCAAACGTGAAGAAATGCAGTGGAGAAATATGTTTTTTTTGTGTGTGTTTTTTTTTATGAATGGTGCTACTCCATTCTGGAGGCTAACACTCCAAACTGCCAGATGGATGGTGTGTAGGTTACAGATTATATAGGACAAAATCACAAGGGTTTCAGGGTCCTGATGGGAGCTGATGGGTCAGAGGTGACATAAGAGTGTAATAACCATCTCTTTAGGTTTTGGAGACAATCCTGAGGTCTTTTCTGGGTTCCTCAGCCCCACTTCCTGAGAAAGTAGCCAGACCATCATTCCACATCAGTGCCCAGTAGTTGAAACATAACTTAGGCCAAGATGTTATCTTTAGCCTGTCAATGATCTGGACTAAGTGGCCATTAGTCTAGGTACCAGCCGTTGTCTTCTGCTGGGGATGGAGTGTGTGTGTGGGGTGGGGGGAGGGAGTGAAGGAGGTATCAGGGAGGTGGGTAGTTGCTGATTATCCAAGGAAAGGCTAGGTCACTAAGGGGCATAGGTGTCCCCCCAAAATGTATACATACAATGTCTATAGATTTTATTACACTTTGAAAATGAAATGTATTTTAACCGTGTCTTTATAATTATTAAAAGTGTATATACATTTTGGGGGGCACACTCCCTCTTAGGGGTGAGAGAGAGAGAAAGAGAGATGATTTCTAATCCTTAGGTTTAAAGTCATAAGGACCCTCCCTCGTTTT